GGCTCCCTGCGGCCGGGGCTTCCTCCCGGTATCCGCAGGGGGAGCGGCTGCATCCCGAGGCCTCGCGCGGTGCCGGGCCCGGCGCTCCCACCCTCGTGTTGCCCCGGGCCTGACAGCGCTCGTGTCCCCGCTCGCAGGTCCGGTCCCTTCGAGATCAGCGCCGACCTCGAAGACTCCATGGAGTTCGTGGATCCCAGCGGCAGCGGCGAGACGGACGAGAGCGGCGACGAGCGCGTGAGCGACGAGGAGACGGACCTGGGCACGGATTGGGAGAACCTGCCGAGCCCCCGCTTCTGCGACATCCCCTCGCAGCCGGCGGAGCTGCTGCAGAGCCAGAGCGCGCAGGCGTCGCAGCCCATCGCCAGCAGCAGCGCCGGCGGGATGATCTCCTCCGCCGCCGCCTCCGTCACCTCCTGGTTCAAGGCCTACACCGGGCACCGCTGACGCGGCGGGAGCCGCCGAGGGAACCCCTGCCTGCCAACACTGTAGGAGACCTTGCGTATTCGGTTGAGTAGTGCCTGGAACAAAGGAGAAAGGTCAGACTTTAATTTTGTAAACCCGAAAAACCTTTTTATTTACCCAAGATGACTGTGACAGTACCGTTTTGTAAATTAGTTAGCTGCGTTCTGACTGGCTGTGTCACGGCGCTCTGTGTCTCGGTTCTGTCTGCAGGGGTGAGTATCGAAGAGAAAGGACCCAGCAGCCTCCAGCTCTGCCTGCTAAAGAACAAACGGATTTGGGAGAACTCGGAGCAGGAGGAGTGCAGGAGGAGGCTGCTGCTCCAGGCTGGACAGTGGTGCAAATGCAGTTCACATTTTCTTAACTCCTTACAGGGTTTTTGTTTGTGTGTGTGTTTTAAATCTGTCTCGCCTATTGCAAAAATGCATATTTCTAAATTTATTTTTCATTCGGGGTATGAAAATTACGCATTTTTAACATGTTTTCTAATCTCCGTTGCCATATTTTTAATACAAAGAATCAGCATGGACAGGAATTCACACAGCAAATCGCTCTTGTTTTAATTTCATCGTGGATCTTAATCCAGTTTCGCAGCACAAAACTGGTTTCTTTCATGCTGTTTCCACTGATCAGTAGTCTGGAAGTTTCACGTTGTGCTGCCCCAAGCACACACAGGCTCTTTGCTCAATGTCATACACCAAAGAAACACTGGACTTTCTCTTGGCCAGACCCACATTTGATGCCGCTACGGAAGGATTGCGTTGGTGCAATAATACTCGTCAGCTAGAACACCGCGTTGCCACTTTTTAACACAAAACCTCATTTCACGTTGGTTTAATGAAGTCGCTTGTTCCCCTCACTACGTGTATTTGAAACCCTCCCCTCTTTTGTGCCCGTCGGGGGCTGTTCCTTGTACCCGAGGCCGCGCAGCCGCGTTGGTCTCACTGGGGAGGCTGCGGGAGGCCGGAGCCGCCCGGCGCGCTCGGTCCCGAGGGCTCCTCCGCTCCCTCTGCCTGTCGGTAACGTTGCCCTTAACCAGGGGGTTCCTTGTGGCGCTTCCAACATTCGTGTTCCCCGAACAGTGTCCATCTCCGTGGGCAGGATAAGGCAAGGCGCATCCTCCCCTGCCTCCCTCCACGAGGGGAGATTTCCGCCTCTTCCCTGTGATTTTCCAGCCCTCGGAGGCCGTGTCTCCCGGTCCCCAGTCTTTAGGGCTCCTCCGCTTGGCCCTTGGGGATGGGGATTTGGTATCAGTCATTTTTTTTTCTTTCCTTTAAGCCAAAGACCCTTAACTCCCCGCTCGCGGCGTGGATGCTGTTGGATGGGGGGCGTCCTCAGTCCTGCACCGCTTTGGTCTAAATCCAATCGTTAGGTTGGTTCATGGACAGCAGAGAGAAGAGCCCGGACCCCTCAACTCCTGCAGCCCGGCCGGGGACGACGCGGCCCCCGAAGGGCTCCGGGACGGGCCGCGGCGCCGCTCGCTCACGGCGCTTCACTCGGTTGCAGCGCTCGGGTTCTTTGCAGCTCTAGCATCCCCCAGTCCTTTTTGGCTCCCATTTATTTTGCACTGGACCCCGCCATCTAAAGACCGTGTTTTTTGTTTGTTTTTCCTCTCCTTTAGCGCATCTCGGTCACTCTTTCATTGCCGCCTTTGTGCTACCTAAGACCCGTAGAGGTCACGCCAGGATTCAGCTTTGGACTATCATTTTCTTTGCAAAAATAACAAAAACCTTTTTAAGCCATATTAACTTTGAAATCATCATGTTTTCCGAGTAATTTATTTGCAACCATGTGACGTTCTGAAAGTGCACAAAGGCAGTGCTAGGGTGTTAAAATGCTTCGGGGTAGGTCCTTTGGAGAAGCGGTTTTGTAACAGAATACAGATTGTGTTCTTTTTTTTTAAAAGTGTTTTGCACATGTGTAGCTAAGGAAAAGAAAAATGTGTTTGTCCAAAACTTGAGTGCAATTGACGGGGTTAGTTTTTCTAAGCTGTTTTTTGGGGGGAGGGAGGGAAAGTGCATCCCTAATAACAGGGGTTTGAGGACGGCCAGCGGGGAGTTTACAAGAGTTTGCATAGGGTGACTGCAGGGGTGTCAACGGGGCCGTGACGATGCCGTGAGCGCTGACCCCAGCTGCCAAGGAAGGGCCTCGTCCCGAGCGCCCGGCCCCGGGCTGGAACGCCGGTGCCTCCGGAGGCTCCCGCCAGGGGCTCCCGCGGTCGAGTCGCCTGCGGAAGCGCTGGGGCCTCTCTCTGCAACTTCCCAACTAGATGTAACTAAACACAAATGTCTTTTGTTTTTCTAAATTTTATTGTATTATTGCAATAAATCTTTAACAGAATCTTTTTAAGGTTGTGCATTTATAGCTGTTACCTCTGTGGGGTTTTTTTTTTTTAAAACCTGCTGGGGAAGCGAGTCTGCAGGTGTCAAAGGTAACCTGCAGAGCCAGCATCAACGGTGAAATACACATTATGGGTTATAAAACGTGCATGGGAGGTGGCGGGGAGGGACACGTGGGCTCTGTGCTGCTGGGGGACAGGTTTTCCTGCGTTGCCAGATGGGGTTGATGACGGTGGCTGCTTCTGCGCACCGGTTTGTTTGCCAGGTGGGTGTGAAAGGGCACAAGTGAGCATTTGAATTTGGTGCTAAAAAAAAAAATAAGCAGGGAGCTTCCTTCAAAACAGTGATTGTGGGTGCAAAGCGTGTCCTGTAACGCAGCCCTTAGCACTGGCTGCTGCCACCTGTGGAGGGAGGGATGGGAAGGGGCCCCGGGCAGGAGCAGAGTGATCCCTCCCGGAGCTCAGGCCAACATTTCCCTCCTGTGGCCTGATCCAGCGAAGGTGACCGGAGTCTCCCAGCCCCTTCCAGACAGAATGGCCTCACCAGCCCCTTGTCTCCTTGGAAAACCTTTTCCTGGGCCGCGCGGGGCCTTTCTCAGCGCTGTCGCCCTCAAGTTGTGATTGCCAGGCTGGATGGGGAGCAGGAAAGCAGCTTCTTCCCCCTCTTCCCTATGGGGATGCAGCTGGAAGCCTTCCCTCCTCGGGATGCAGCAGGATGAGGGCAGCGGCAGCAGCTCCCTCCACGGCTCTTCCCGCTGCTTCCACCTGTGGCCTCCTTCCTCCGGGCTCTTCCGCGTGCCGGAGCGGCTGCTGCTCCCGTTATTCGCAGCCCAGGGCCCCAGCGCGGCTGCCCTTGGTCCAGGAGAGCCCCCAGTTCCCCAAAGCTCCCGCCAGCTCCGGAGCCCGCGGCGCTCCAGGAAGGGAAGGGCTGGAAGGGGCGAGTGCCGCAGCAGGGAGGTTTCCGAGTTGCTCCCTTTTTTACAGGGGCGAGATTCCCACCGGGAAACGAACTCAGGATTGAAGTACAGCACAGCAGCACATTTATGCCTCAATTTACAGTATTTTTATTTTGGGGCCAAAAAAAAAAAAGTTTTACAAGAAAATCCGGATAAGGCAGATCTAGAACACACGTTTTATTACAGTAAAAAAAAATAACCAGACAACATGGATAAGGAAGACAAGAATTTTTTTTTTTTTTTTTTAATATTCGGACTATACAATAATATTCCTCTCTCTTTATCCACTGCTGTACTACTATAAATGTATCTGTTCTAGGCTACGTTTAAGGTTGTCCAGTTAAATTGGTCGAAGGTTCTTTAAACAAGTTGACCTTTACCTCTTTAGAGTTTCTCCCCAGAAACGTTCATATATTATACAGGATATACAGATTTTCGAAACGAGACACTTAAAAACGCACACGCACACCTCTAGCTGCAACACTGTCATAGCTGCATTGTAGTGATTACGTTGCTCAGCCAGCTGGAGACTCTGTATGTACAAGTCGTTTCTATAGTGTTATTTACAGAGATGGGCTAAAAGCTCTCTCCACTCCAAAAGGTAAAGGCTCCTGTGTGGAAGGATGTGCAGTTTCGTAGCCCTGTGAAAACACAATTATATACACTGTAAACAGCACAGGGCGTGCGAGCTCCCTCCTGGCCCCGCGCGCTAGTACTCGTCCTCCGCGTCGCCTCCCGCTCCTCGCGCCTTCTTGTGCAGCGCCCGGTTGAAGCTGTGGCAGGCAGGAACCCAGTGGTTGTCGTGCAGGCCCAGCTTGCAGCCCGGGATGCCCTTCTGCGAGCGGTGGCAGCACATCCAGTAGCCCGGGCCGTAGGGCAGCGCCTGGCAGTAGGGCTTGGGGTGCCAGCGGCACAGCGACACGTCCCCCTTCACGTACTTCTTCTTGCACTGCTTGCAGGGGTCCTCGCGGTAGCGCGGGTCGCGCACCCAGCGGGAATCGGCCGGCCGGATGTTGTAGTACTCGATGAGGAACTTGAAGTAGTAGCAAGTGCATTTGAGCGCCACCAGGCTCCGCGTGGGCAGCAGCCCGAAGATCTTCACGATGATGTGGTGCGGCAGGAAGGCCATGTACTGCTGCGGCTCCAGGAGCTGCTGGATCTTGAACCTGGTCTCCAGGAGGTCGTGCGAGACCTGCCGTTTCAGGCAGGAGGGGGCGGGGAACTGCAAAG